AAATTAGGCATCTACGTGTTGTTTCTTTATGCTGTTTTCCTGTGTTTATCTATAATGATAGAGTTTAATGTCTTCACCTTTGTCAACTTCCCTATGTGCCGAGAAGAACTTTAAACCACAATGAGGAGAGAGGCTGAAATTCTTCTGATTACACATGCTGTAAATGGCAGGAGGCATTTCACATTTTTACCTTCTTTCCATCAGTAATTTGAGTGTCGTTCCTGCTTCATCAGCTAACAAGCACTTTTTCCTATATGGAAGGAAAGCATACCTTCCTTTTAACATGCTAGCTCAAGGCAACCAAAGCATTTTCCTCCTCTTTGGGTACTGCTGCTCAGACATAAAGCTACGTGGGTCTTATGCAGCACTCTAAAAGGACCTGTTTCTGGGCATTCTGTTGTGGTTTTCATTCTCCTTTTGCAGACAATCAACCACCACCAAGGTTAGCAAGAGGACAGGAGAAAAATCTTTATAGTTCTTTTGGTTTTGACATTTACTTTCCGTGGAAGGATAAGAGGCAAGTTCAGAACTTTTCTTGGCTCATTCAAAATATCTCAGCTACAGGACCGGAAAGTCCAAGGCACATATCATGGCATGCACTGTTGAGGACATCATTTCCCTTTCAAGTGCTCTGCTTATAGAGGAACTTCACTGACAGTTTTTGATGGCAGTGTTGGATATTTATCACTCTGTTCAATGAACATGAACAACGTGGCAGAGAAAGAAGAGGAAATGGTTGTATGTTGTATCACTTGTGATGATGCACACTAGAAGTCAAGAGTATCTGCATACTGAAGAAGAGAATTACATGCAGAAATTCATACTTGAAAAATATGTTTTATTGTTAATGAGGAATGCTGTACACATAAATATAAACTGACATTTGTGGAATATTACACCACAAAAAACTTTGCATTGGCCATTGTAAGCCCATTGTGTAAATTTAGAAGAAACTAAACAAATAAAATAAAACTGGGTGCTCAGTAACTATCAGTTGTTGTTATCAGCTGAGAGTAGTATCTGAACATAATCCAGACTTTCTGACAACAAAACCCACCCTGATTATGATTTGATTTGATTCAATTTGATTGGTGGGAGGAAGAAGCTTATTTCATCAGTCAAGAAGCTGGTGTATTCTTCAGTTTTTCTTTATTCCCAGAAGCTTAATGAAGATGAGTGTCTGTCGTGGAACAGTGCAGATAAGAATCACATAGACGAAAGCAAGTCTGTCAAGAGAATATGGTCCTTGATTTGATTGCATGCAAGTTTTGAAGCACAATATACTTCTTTTCAACTCCGAGTAGAAGCCAAGTTTTGACACCCTTTCCACCAGCATTAATCTGATGTAAGGAATTACTCTGAATGTAATTGACAGCAAGATTCAGCCCAGAGTATTGAAATAATGGGTAACAGTCCGCATTGTAGTGGTCATACAATTGCAGATCACTGAGACAGCATATTTTGAATTGCTACTAAACTTTAAAAATATTTTGAAGCTGTATGTGAATGATCACATAAAGTTTCTAAAGAAGCACAGTTAACTTTATACATAGATTTTTTTAATTTTTTAATATTTATAAACCAAACCTATCAACTAACAGTTGATGTGTTTTTAAATATATAAATATTTCCATTAAGACTATATATAAAAAATTGTGTCAGTGAGAACATACTATAAAATATTAGTAAATAAGCACTTATTCAGAAAGTTCCTTCTTTTAACAAATGATAAATAATTATTTTTAGCCAACTGACATGCAGAATACTGTTTACACCAGGCAATGTGTTTACAATTATGGCTATTTTAAAAATTATTTTAGTACAAATTAAGGAGTGTATTCTGCTGTTGAATTTTTTTTAGGAATTGGATCTTTTCAATGTAATCCTAAAGAAAAAAAGCAACACATTTATTACTTGCTTTACACTTTGTTACAAATGTCAGTATTAGTATCCATTTAGGGTTCATAATTTAAAAGTTTTGTTGTTAAACAAGCCAGTTCTAAAGATGGCCACAAATACAGCATTATTAAAATGCTTTATTGAATAGGCAAGCATGGCAGTAAAACACATTTTATCTCAACAATGCCAATGACCCCATTTCCAGGCATTCAAGACATTTTTGCTGCAGTATAAAGCTGAGGAGATGGAATTCATGTTCATCTTTGAGTCTTCTGTTGCAGAAAGGCTGTGAAAATGCAGCATACTGCTGCACCACTGTAGGAGCATCCCCTTCTAGTCTTACTCTCTCCCCTGCTGTCTTTCAGGACAGTTTGCTGTTGAAAATATGGTGATGACTTAAATATAAGACTGAAAGGAGCAGAGAGAGAGGCTGAGTAAATGTTCTTTTCCTATATTCTGCCGTTTTGTGGTCTTGGAGAACTAACTGTCTCCAAGCAAATATTTGCTCTCCTGTGCATGGTTCAGGCAGCTCAGATGTCTTCACACAGTAGAAGAGTGGTTCCAAAATCAGATTTTGAATGCTTAGTGAAAGCTGAGTTGACAGTCATGAGGGCATCAAAGCTTATAGTGCCAGATCTAGCAAACTGTACTGTACCTTCGTATTTCTGAACCAGGCAACTTTGGAAAAATACAGGCACCATTTTTTTCTGTAGCAACTGACCCCCAGCCCAAACATGCACAGATTTTTGTCTGCTAATGCTATGAGTTCTTCAAACATAATTTAGAATTACTCTGCCTAAATTGAATATCACCTGCTCCAGAAAACCAGTGTTGTATTTAGCAAGGGTCAGTCTCAGAACATAGTACTGCTAAATCATGTGGCTGGTCCTGTCATCTACAGCCCTCCCTGAAACATAGACCCACTTCAGGACAATTTATATTGAATTCTAATGTTGCATTTCATGAGATGGTCTCATGCATATCCTGCTATGAGACAGGTATCATGCCATGCTTATAATTATAAATAACCTTAGTAGGGTTCTCCTCTGACACCACCACATGACCAAGGATGTATTGTTTGCCAAAGAATTATGAGATGCTGTATCAGGGCCTTGATGACACATTATCATATGGAGTAGTTTAAAGGGTTCTTAAGTTGTCATAATCCATATGCTAAAATAAATAGAGTTATACACCAAGCCATGCAGGTAAACTGAATGGTCCAAGAAAGATCTGATTGACAAATCGTTGTGTGTCAGATAAACCCACATCAGAATGTATCAGTAATTCAGTAGGCTGTTGCAGAGTAATAACAAACTAGTGCCTTTCACGTGTATACAAAAAAAAAAAAAAAAGAAAAAAGAAAAAATTTGCTTGCGTAGTCAGGAAACCATTGCAAATTTTGCCATTTTCAAATCAAGAAAAGGAGTGATTTGTGCTTGGCTCTCTGCAATTAGTACAGTTCTATCCTGCAGCTGTTCAGATTGTGTCTCAAATTTTGTAGCCATTTTGTTTTATTAACCATTGCAAGAGTTAGCTGGCTGAGTTTGGAATGTGTGTCGCAATATTCTATAAGTTAATGTTCAGCTCAAGAGTGAAAAGAAAGCTGGTGGATGTGAGAGGTAAAACTGTTACTGTGATCTGAAATTTGCCAGCATACTAACACTGAAAAGTAATACAACTCAGAAAAAGATATCCCATATCCAGCAAAGCTTAACTTCAGCAGGTTTGATTCCATTCTTAAAGCTAAGCATATATCCAAGTGCCTTGCTGGATTGTGTCCTAAGATGACAGTGGAGCACAGTTTTTGGGTTTTCTGTCATATTCAGATCTTTTCATATTTTACTGGGTTTGTAGTGTGAGGATTTTATTTCTTTCTCAAATTATAAGGTTTAACCAGAGTCCGTGGACTTCTGCTCTGCTGATACCACTTCCAATTTCCACTCTTGTAAATAGGAGAACACGTTCCTTGTCTCAGACTTCAAAACTGTGCATCTGCCCTTGTGTGTATGAGCGGGGGCAAAACTGAATTATAGTTGGCCAAGGAGGGCTTTTAGCAGCTCTTTTCTGCTGCAGTTCCCCTGGAGTAGCACAGTCCCACATAGACCCACAGGTTGCAGTCCTGTCTGTAGCAAGCAAACGGGAGTTTCCGTTGAGTTTGACAATTTTTGATTACATTTATTTACCATAACAATTGTACTGCATTATAAAGTATTGCTTGTGTAAAGATTTCAAGCTTAGGATCTACATGTCTAAATCTAAGAAGCTACAGATATGGTTATCTATTTGATGATGTAAGGGCTGCTCTCTGGGCTGAGGTCTAGCCTAGAAGAACACCTTAAGTCTTCCCAACAGGTACAGCATAGTCAACATCTTTCTCCTGGCTCAGTCATTGGCGTGCCAATTTTATTTTGGTTTTATATGCTTACTGCAGCTGTAGCAAACATAAAATTAGTTTCTGGATTTAGATGATATTTGTAAACTTTCTGTCAACATGTAAACAAATGGAAAAGGTCTTTACTAATCTAATACTTAGCAATCATAGAGAAGATTCTATTCTGTCTTTGATTTCCCTTGTGACTGTGCTTTAATTGCACTTGTTTCTATTATGTGTTTGCTCTAGTTGCACAAATTCCACATGGATTTTGTTGTCTTCCTTTCTTGGATTTCTTGCCATTGTAATGGCATTTACTTGTGTCCTACTATTAGTTGGTTTTGGTAGAGTGCTTTAAGCTGTATGAATACTGCCTGATAATTCATGCCAAGGAAAGATCAGACCTAATGTAATATGAATCAGACACTAAAATAACTGATAGCCAGGTGAAACCAAAGAGTCTTCCTAATTGAAATACATCACCTTTAAGCGTAACATTCTGTCATTGCAAGGCTCAGATCTCTCTCTGTTAGTTATTTGTGTTTAAACACTCAGAAAAAAAATCTGCAGCTTGTGCATTTGCTACACAATTTCCTTTTTATTTCTTTGAGTCTGAACTCCATATTTTTCATTTTATTGGGTGGTGAGATTTATGTGATGGTTACACAGGTAAATGACAGCATTTAGTTCCAGCAACTCTGTACCAAACCCTTTATTATTCTCTTGAACTATTTTGAAAAGTCTGTATGCAAGTGATGGATGTTCTGCTGAAGAGGAGAATGCCATTCAACTGATACGTGCATTCCAGTTTCTGACCTACTGTGTGCATATTTAAAAACCTCCTTTTGAATAACTTGAGCACACACTTTTCTCACATTTCCCCGTATGTCAGGTTCTCATGTTTGCTCCCAAAAGAAATCTGTGAAATCTTATACATCCCTGTCCTGACATGTGAGATACATGTGTAGCTGCTTCTGCACAGGCTGAGATGTGTAGTGGTTGTGGCAATTTGCTCCTCATGTGGTTCTGCTTGCTGCCATACTTCTGACATACAGCGCACTGTCTGAAAGAAATGAATGATTATGGGAAATTAATGCCATTTGGATATTTTCTTAGAAGAATTGCCTGTTTGAATTTAATCCCTTTTTTTTTCTTTTTTACTTGCACAAAGAATGTAGGCAATCACTGCCATCCTATCAGTGAGATGGTCTTGATAAACTTGAAAGACAAATCTAAAGATTGATTTATAGCACTAGACATGATAACAAATTCTAAAAGTATCAGAATATATGAAAACTAGACAGGTATAATCTCTAGAAAGATTGATAACAACAGTAAAGATGCTTCCTTTGAGAGGATTTTTACAACAAGATTATGGCCTTCATTCATATACCAATTATGTATGCAAAGAACACTTGTAAATCTCCTTCCCCAGCAGCACCTCTGTTTCAAATAGGTGTAACTGCAGCAAAGTTGTGACCAAATTCTTGCCTTCACGTTCTTGGGAGTGGTGACAGTGCTCGTTACTGTCCTGATAGTTGGCACAAATTTGTGTCAGTGGAACTGAGCACAGAATTTGGCTCACACTATCTCCTCCATTGCAAGAAAGTCTTTGAAATCATTTATGATCACTAAAATGAATTCTGAACCTTTTAAAAACCTGTGTTTCGTACTTGCAGGCATTTGCTGTGCACCCTTAGGAGGTGTGATACCTCTTTAAATATTATTAAAACTTTCTGGAACTGCTTACTTTGAAAACAGAAAGGGATGGGTTTGTAAACTGTAAATAACAGAAATCTCTCATGTTATTTATTTTTTCAATGACTGTGACCTTATGCACTGTGAATGCTCTGTGATATGGGGTCCATTGTACAGATAAATATGTCATGGAATCCAAATGGATTTAATGTGATGATTTGTTACAAAATGTTGGCATGATATTTGATTATTTTTGTTGTGAGAATTATAAAAAATAGTTAACTCAGCATTTATAAAGATTATAGCAGTCAGTATTATAATGCACTATATAAAAATATGTACACTATCAATAAATTATATAAACAACTAGAGTGTGTTTTTTTCTCAGATGATAAGATGTGAAACATTCTCATGTTTATTATTGAAAATCTAAAATTTAAGGACCCAAATAGGTTATGTGCCTTTACTTTTTTGGTGAAATCTGGACCCTGCTGAACTGAATTTATGAAGGCCCACATTTTCATCTATTCCAGGGAGTATTGCCTGGATCAAGCCATTATTTGGAGTGAGTTAAGTGTATTGCTTTGATTTGCAGCAATTCTGAAACACACAATTTGCTCTTTTGAGGCTAGAAGTGTGTGAATTGCTGAGAACACAGTTTGCTGTACTGAGGCACTGATTCAGAAGCAATTATGACAGCTCAGAAACACCCTGATGGGAGAGCATTTTGGCTGCTTTGTCTCATGGTACAGTGGTGTCCAGTAGGTTCACACTGAGTACTGGATGCTGACAAAGGAGTGGAAGTAAGATCTGAAGGCTGTGCAGTACTATTTTCATTTCCCAGCTACCTAACCTCTGGAGATACTCCTTCTTACCCTTGATTGTCCATTTTCAACATCCTTGTAGTTCACCTCAGGGTCTGATGACTTCTGGTATATATGTACACAGGCTCTGGTACAGTCTGTTCTGGGCTCACAAAAAGCTTTTAAATGAAAAAAAAAAAAGGAGAAGCTAAGAGTTAACTTCATCTCATGGCCTGGTGTATTAACAGTTTAATTAGACAAGTCTTCTCAATACTCCTAGCCAGTTTACAACCAGGAGATGCAAGTTAAAACAAATCTTGATCTTATTTTTCTTAAGCACTGTGCATGAGACTGGAATCCCTGTTGCTGTATAAACCTGCCATTAGCCACTCTTGGCTTTTGTGCATCTACAGAAAAGTCTCATGGAAGTGGAGAAAAGGGGTATCCTTCTTTGATTTTTACATAAAGGTTCGTTCATTAATGTATACTAAGCTAAATTTTTCTAAGCTGGGGAAAGAAAAGAATTCCTTCTTATACAAAGAATTACCTTCTAGGCATCAGAATCTGAATGTGAAAAATACCTCTTCTTTTAATCCTTCCATTCTTGACATGATGACCCATCATGATCTGTTATGTAATAGGCTCTATAAAAGGCACATAATCTATGGATTAGTGACACAATAGGCATGACAATTCCTATGGGCTCTTAATACATGCTGTATTATTGATGCAGCCACTTCCTACTATATGGAAAACAGAACTGTCGTGTAATCTGTGCATATGCTGAAAGCACTTTTTTATAACCAAAGTGCTCATACTTAATGGCTTCCCCCATAAGCCATTTTTAAACCTTTCCAACTCGGCTGCATAAAATTACAAAAACGGGCTGCAGCATGCTGTGGCTTAAGATGGAAAGGGGGAATCAGTTCTAGAAAAGAAATGAATTTCCCCTTTCAGCTTGGATTTATCATAGAGGAGCCTCAGCTTGAAGTAACTGGGTGTTATTTTGTCATTTAGCTTTTGTGTAATTGTTTACTTCCAAAGCCTGATACTAGAATATAATGTCACATTCCAAACCTGTCAAATCTCTGGCTTAAAAAAATACCTAGTAAAGACTGGACAAAATTTCTTAAGTTAAAATTTGTCTTCATTTTCATATTTTAAATATTTTACAGAGATACTGAGTACTTTGTAGAAAATTACAAAATCTTTTAAAATTAAATTTGGTCAATATCTTTAGCGAAACAAATTTTGAAACTTCACATTTCTGAAACTACATTCTTTACATTGGAAATAGTGTGAAAGATTTCACTCAAATCACATGAAACTGAGATAGCACCAAAATACTGGATTTTTTTAATTCTGTATTGTTGCCATTTTTCCCCCCAAATCTTGTGAATAATTCTAGTAATTTTGTTTCTGCTTCCCTAAAAATATCATTGGAATTGTCTAACACTCTGTGATGTTCTGCATTTGCAAAATCTTAGGTCTTTGCATAGGACAGCTGCCTATTTGTGTGAACAGTTTTTCCCATCTGAGGAGGTCCATGCAAGCAGCCCAACTTCCCAGTTTTTGTCTCAGCAAACTTTTTTTCCAGCAAAACAAGAGTAAATGCTGAGTGGGCCTGGTCCCTGCTGAATTGCAGGGGAGGGAAATGGAAATGTGGGGTAGAGCTGAATTGTGTGAGGCATGTAGGAGGTTGTTCTCATGCCAGTACCCGAGGTGCATTTCAGAGGTGCCCAGCTGGTGAGCAAATCTAGAACATATTTTTTTCTTGGACCTCTGCGCTCAGAACCCACAGAAGGATTCAGAGCTGAGATCTGACAAGCCTGCATTAAGGAATGAGTGAATCTCAGCCAACCTGCCTGTCTAAGAGGACTAAATTCTTCGTTGAATGAGTTTGCCATTGCCTGAAAATTACTCCAGGAGATGGAGCAACTAGCTCCTTAATGTAGTGGAAAAGAGTATTATGAAATACAGTAGCTGAAAATTCAAAACTAAATGAGGGAAAGAATCAGGTGTGAATTTAAATAATACCAGCAATTAAACCCTAAGACACCTTATGTAGAAGGGTAGTGAATTTTCCATCATGCAGTCTTTCAGTTAGGCTCTTTGATTTTCTAAGATGAATCCTTCTAAAAGCTAGAACATAAATTTTCTTATGTGAACAGAAGTCACAGTATTTATTAAAAAAACAAACTGGGAAAATTTGGTCTAGTGTTAGCACAGAAGTTATGACTTGGTGACGGTGAAGGACCCCCTGACTCTCCTTAGCTCAGTGCCAGCAGAATTGGCTCTGTGTTCTATACTGAGGTCTAGTTTCCCTCTTGCCAATGCACTGGCAGTTCCCTGACATTTGCATTCTGCTATGGGCTGTATGGCACTGTCTATTTTTAAAAAGCTGAGAAATTCCTTCTAAAGATAAAAGGGGCAAAAAGTTACCTTTGTCTCCCTGTCCATTCCATGCAATTGCTTTTCTCCACCTCTGCTTCCTACTTCTGCCTTATTTTTTCCATTATGCATTCTCCTAGTATCAGATATTTCTGGAACAATGGCGTTGCCAAATAGGAGTGCCACCAGCCCTGTCTGACAGCACATCTGTCAGTCCCCAGCTTCCACAGCTGGTCTGTATTCAGTCAGGTTTCCCGTACAGCAACCATTACTTGATCACTTAAATAACTCTGGGTCAAATGTACTCTGAGACTGACTGCAGCTTCACAGCACAGATAGCTGTTCATTTGCTAGCAGTTGTACAACCTTATCATTAGCTTTTGCTTTAACTGGGAATGTTTTTGTGAAGCTGTCCTCTGCTAGTGTTAGACATTTCATTTTCTCAGGTCCTGTGTAAATATAAAGGTTTCCAAGCTCCATCTGGTTCCAGTTACTCAAGCAGTAGAAATACACATGCTTCAGGAATTTGCAGACGGAGACTTACTGCTTTGCTGCCTTACAAAATCCTTTACAAAGTTCACTATGCTCTGTTGCCTCCTGATATACCTGTAGCCTGTAAAACAATTTCCCTTGAAACTTATTTAAGTTAGAGAAACAAGTTGATGGTCTCATGCCCTTCTTTCTAATGAGGTTAACCTGCCTGCACTACTAAATATGGGTTTCTAACACACACACACACACACACACACACGCACGCACACCCTTGACCACCAAAGACTGCCTCTTCCTGAAATCCCCCGTTCATATAAATACAGGAAGTAGAAATAAGAGAGGCTAAAATCGGATCTTCTTGGTAGTTTGCTTTCATTTCAGTGTTTGTTTAGTCCTCTGCCCTCTGATACTACTGAGCCTGAAGCTGGTTTTAAACATCCTCCCCCTGACGCCCCTTGAAATACCATCTTCAGTGCAAAACCTGAGGATGTGGAGGTTCTGCTCAGCAATGGAAAGGAATTGCTTTTCTTACCGAGGAACTCTCCAGCCACTGTGAAACAGAAAGTGTCTTAAAGTTTGCTGTAAGGATGAAAACATCAGCAGGAGAGAAGGGAGCCAGGGATGACTCAGGGTAAGTCCTGAATCTTTAGTGACTGCTCATTTTTAACAACTGTTGCTTTGCTTTTCCTACTTAACAAAGAGTTCTCAGCTGCATTTGTAAGCCGGCTGCTGAGTTATCAGCTACATAGTCACAATAGTGTGGCAAGATTGTGCTGTAATTTACAGTATTTCCTTTAGCTAACATGTTCCAGCTAAAACCAAACTGCAATACCTTTATTTAGCTTGAATCTTAGCTATTTAGGGAAGAAGAAGGATGAATCCCAAGCTGCAGTTTAGGGCAAAGGACAGAAAAAGGGAGTTTTCTGGTTTTGGAAATGTGACAAAGCTTTTCTGGGAGGCTTGCTTTGTTTCTGCTCAAATGCAGAAGTGGATAAGGGCTCGTCCCTATCAGCTGATGGTCACTCCAGCTCCTGCATGCTAAGGTATACACAGACTCTGTCCACGGACTCCCAAGAGACTTCAAATGCACTTTCTGTCAGGAAAAGAATACAGGCTTTCCTTGCTCCTGGCCAACAAACACTGCACCTTGCAGGACTGAGCCCCAAGAAAACATAGTGGGACAGAAAATGGGTTTTGACTGGGACGACAGTCAGCTAGCTCCTGGGATTCCAGGATAAGGCTGGAATCCTCCTGAGGCTCGGTTGTGTCATAAAACCCGTGCTGAAGCTGAGAATTTCTGTTTCCTGTTGTAAACAATCAGGGGAAAATTACATAGCTGCTGAAACCTTCAGTCACCCCCCCTTGGAAAAACATAGTAATACCAGATATTAAGACTTTTTCTTACCTGTTTGACACACTTAGACAGCCTATTTCCTGTGAATAAAAGCTCCCAGATATGTCTGTGATGGGTCCGGTAGAAGAGGCTGTATGGGTGGATAGATATGGGATACTTGCCAGACTTGGAGCATACTCAGACAAAAAGGAGGTGAAATTGCTGCTGACAGGCTACCGTGCAATGGTTTCACCATAGCACTGTTCCCAAATACCCACATGGAGTGCGGGGGGTGGAGGAAGAACCCTGCATTACAATTGTTACTGCTTTTGCCTTGTTCAGTTGTTTGCATTAAGTGGAACAATGACACTCCTGTTTCAAGGTGTAATTCCTCAGTTCCATGTGATGTTAAACACTGAGGGACAAAGATCACACACCCATAAGGAAAAAATGTAAGTGTCCAATCCCTGCAGACTGGCAAGAGGAACTTAGTCGATGATAAACCAGAGAATTTGCGCTTGGCAGATATTCTCTGCATTTTTGATAGTTAGGATGTTAAGTATTATAAACTGAAAGATATATTCTCTTTATCTCTTTCTCAGCTTGTCTGAAATGAGCCACATACTTGCAAAGGTTTGCTTTCAGTCTAAAGTTGCAGGAGAAAGTAAACAAGCCATAGACCTTAGATTTGGACTGTAAGTCAAGTGGTTGGAGGAATATTGAAGCATGAATAGGCATGCCACAAGCATTCTTCATAGAGTTTTGAGCATCTGAACAATTTAACAGAATTACCTTTTTTTTCATTAACTGATTGTCTTTATTTTCAGTCTGTCTCCCACTCATAAAAAAACTTGGGTATTTTAAAATCTGTTTTAACTCTTTCTGTTTACATTCTATAATATTGGTGAAGATCCTCAAAATTACACTTCAGCATGTGTACCTTGTGGCCTCCAACACATTACAGAATTAGAAACATTTCTAAATGGTGTTTAGGTAATTTCCTGTTACGGTCACACTGAATTAGGTGCCAATTTCACAAAATATATGTAGATAAAGTTGGTAGCTTTCAAAAGATATGGTAACATAGGGCAAGCTGCTGATGGAGAATCTGGACCTGATTTTAAAATTCTGTGCACAAAAATTGCACGAGCAATTGGTGAGATTGCACCTCAGTTCACCATAGTCTTTGGGCTATTAATTAAAAGGGAAGGCTTATTCACATGCACAGAAACTATGGCAATGCAAATTATCTTAGAAGTACCCTAGCAACTTGAAAAGTATCCATGTATCCATTCCTAGTAATGACTGAAGGGTCTATTCTGCATGTAGCAAATCCATAAGGAGGTTTTGCTGATTTATACCTGTGAAATGGCAGAAAACACTGGGGAGAAACCTGCTTCCAGAATTAGTAGCTACTCAGAGAGGAATGAGGGAGAAGTGTAGCCAGGGGCTGAATAGAAATCAGTCTAATCCAATTGTTCCAAAATGGGTTGGGAGAAATTTAACCAGTAATTCTGACCTAGAGTCAGGCTAACTCCTAGGAACATTAATAAGTGGTGAGATCACAAAACACCTGGAGAAATGGGAGCTGCTTGAGCATGATGACCATGGTTTCATGAAAAGATATATGCTTTCACTCCAGCATCTGGCAAATGTATGGAGGAGATGATGAGTAGGGCAGATAGGAGCTGAGACAGATGTTATATGCAAATATTTAATAGTCCTTTGAGACAGTGGCTGTTTTAGGTTGGGATGGGTTACAGTGGTTCTCATTCCTGGGACACCAGGTTACCTAATGAAGTAATGATTGTGCATCTTTCTGGTGACATGTTTCTTGGCACAAAACCCACCATCACAGTTGGCAGATTTCATGTGATGAATTTAGAGCATTGGAGGAATCTGTAAACTGAAAAACTCTGACAGGTTCACAGATTTTAGTTTTGAAAGGGACTGTTTTGACTGTCTTGTCTGACCTCCTGTGTAGGACAGACCAGAGATCCTATCAAGTACGCTATCAAACCCATGACTTCTGCACGAATGGGAGCTTCTAGATAGTTGTTGACCACAAAAGCTGCTATCTTCTACCCAGGCTACATATTTGTCTCTTCAGTGCAGTAAATAAATCTAATACCAACATTTACAGGGTTGAACTGAGAAAACAATTCTTAAAAACTCCTTAAAAGCCATGCTTTTTAAAGGGCTTAATCTAAGCTCATTTGAATCAGGAGAACAAGTCCTGTTGGCTTCAGGAGGCCTTGAACCCAATGCAAAGTACTGCTAAAAACAAATCCAGACCTAGAACATATGAGATGTGATGTTTAAATGGGCCAGGGACAGATCAGGCAACTGGAAACAAATCAGTGTTATCAAATACCTGCTGTCTGTCAAGCAATGATACACACAATGATACAGCCAAGAGGGATAGTGCTTCTCAAGAAGGAAATGTTTGTGCTCAAGATGCATTGCACCAAGATCGGCATATTACTGTAAAGATACAAAGAAGGTGGTACTCTCCAAAGCTACCTGAATTTTGTATGTCCAGGGAGGAGACAAAAATCTCCTGAAATTCATTTAACAGAAGAGCATGTTTGCAACCACGTTGACTTGTTACATGATCTTTCCAGCACTTCCATTAAGTGAGTACTTGCCAAGCTTGGCGGATGCTTGGAGCACGTTGTGCAGTGGTACTGGTAGTAGCATGGAAGGCAACTGTCCCATTGTTTGCTGGCAGACAGACCACACTGGGAATATTGCCCCCGAGTAGGAACTTCTCATCATTGCGGACTGCCTTATATCAGTGTTCACAGGAATGGGGCCACAAATGTAAGCAGTATTCTGATCATCTACTTTCTACTATAGTTTCAGCTAAATATAGTTTTCCACTTCCTGTCCTAAATGGCTACGTGCTGGTTTGTGTTGTTGACTTTCCAGCCTAGAGGTGACATAGGCTGAAAAATGTGCACATATCTTGTGTGTATCTCTCTTGTTCTGTGTATACAGGTATATATGTAAATCAGTGTGTCCTGGAGACTAGCTGTGAGGGTTACTTGGCACAAATTTGAGCTGGCTCCATCTCTTATTCAGCCACATGTACATATTCCAGATATCTCAGAGATTATCTGTTTTATAGAATTTTTCCAAGTGATAGTAGGACTATATATTAACTCAACTATTGGTAAATATAAGTGACTTCTCTAGATCAACAATATAGGATTGTGAGATTCAGAAGAATCTCTAAAATTACCTGAAGAATAGACATAAAAGCCAATACCTAAACCAAATCCATTAGGAAAAAAAAAAAGCAAGATGTCATCCCAGAGTTTTAAATGGTTATCTGGGTTGATTGCTAAAGAGCATGGAAACCAAAGTGCCTTAGTGAAACTTGGACAAAATATTGTTCATCACAGACCTTTATCCTTTATAATTTTGAAGGGAGAACATATTTTGCATTGGGGAATAGAAAGAAATAGCTCTTTGGAAGGGTAATTAGAAAGAAAAGGCAGCTGTTTGGAATGACTGATCAAGTTCTAGTGCAGATGGATCTGTGAGGAGAGGGTAGATACTGTCATCAAAACTCTTGGTGTCTCAGAAGTCTATCACACTTTCCCAACTGTATCAAACAAGCATTCCCCCTGTGTAAGGAAGAGTGTCTGTGCATTTGTGATTGTTTAGGTTGTCCTTTGTGAGGAATTACAAATTAATGACAATAAACAACTAATTATATTCCTTCTAATTAGATTTAGAATTAGAAAAAACAGGGGAAAGGACATTTAGCACATGTTCTCCAGAAGACCGAGGAGAGGTTATAATGCCTCTTGCTATGCTGTTATCAGTACAGAGTGGTCCTACAGTCACAAGCCGTGGTACGTGCTGGGATGGAGCTGGTCTTGGCAGCCCCGGTGTTCAGAGCAGCAACTAGATCATAGGCTGATCTGGGGCCTTAAGTGGAAGGGACTTCTGAGGTATTAAAGCAGAAATAGTTACAAACCTGAGATGTTTGATAATTTAAAAAACAAACAAACAAACAAAAACAAACAAAAAAGCCCCCAGCATAATATTCTGTACTTTTAAATATTCATACTACCAAACAAGACCTCAGATTTCTCTTTCTGAATAGTTATGGATCAGAACTGAGAAAACAAAGATGAAAGGACACATCTGTACTGCAGCATAGGAGATGTAAGGATGCTGGGCACACCCTGGCCCTGGCATTGATGTAGCTGCACAAAGAGAAGCAGCAGTGAGAAGACAGCTGAACAGGCAAGTTGGCATCCGTGAGAACTGTCTGCCAAAAAAGGTGTACAGTGTCTGCAGGAGTTAAACCATGTCTGTCAAACCATTTCTATGCTTCTCTGCCAGAGAGGGCTGCCTGTGATACACAGGGTAGAGAAGAGTTGTCCTTGTGCAGTGGTTGCAGCCCATCTGCTGTGGAGGGGCGTGGGCTGTTACATAAGGTCGCTTGTGTGTATGCTAACTGTATTTTCTGCCAAGACCCTTGGCACCCCACTCTCCCTCCAGCACTCTGTTTGGCATCCCTGATCTGCTCTTACAATGCAGGAACACAAGTGTCAATCCCATCCTCCCACTCTGACAGGGGAAATCCCTAAAACATACAGATGCACATGGCTTAGTTGGAGCCACGCACTGGTGTCACTCTGGAGTAACTCTCCAGAGCTGGAGCTGGCTGAGTTCAGAATCCATCCCTGGGTGTCAAATGCTTACATCTCGGAGAGGCAAGGCAAGTTTCAGCTGGTGTCTTTTAACTGTGAAGTTTGAAGGAGGGGGGTTGAAAGTACTGTGAAAGTACCTGGTAGCACAGCCCTGTGAGGCAGCTGTGGTCGAGGAAGCAGTGCTGTTTAACCTGTGCAAATAAAATAGAGCTATAAGCATCACCCAATATGGTAAATATTGTAGCTTCAAGCCTTTCCTCTGTCCATTCAATACCTGACCTATCTAAAGTAATTCTGCCTACCTCCAGAAATGAGATCTCTCTATACCCTGCTGGAGTGGGAACATTAAGGCCATGCTTCCCTCAAAGATAATCAGTTGCAAGAGTTCTGAAGTGCTTAGCTCCTCTTCCCCTGCACCCAAAATAGTATAAATCTTTTTGCAAGCGAAGATGATTACTTGAGCAGCAAAGGATTAGCAGATGTGAGCACTGCATAGCTGGTTATGCTAGTCACATTTTCCTAAATAGATATTCTGTTAGATGCACACGAGCCAGGGAGTGCTATGGAATGCAGCTCTTTTCAAATAGATGAATATATACATGCCTATGTGTGTGCCTTTCCCAGACTTTCTATAAGCTTTTTCTAAACAAGGAATGTATTTATGTGTAAGTAAAGGATTTCTGCTTTCTGCATTACTGGTACCTTT